TTTAAGTTTATTCCTAGGAGACGCACTTCCTAACTTGAGTCATTGAGATTTTACCCATAGGAGACGCACTTCCTTGTTTGAGTCATTGAGATTTTACCCATAGGAGACGCACTTCCTAGCTTGAGTCATTGAGATTTACCCATAGGAGACGCACTTCCTAGTTTGAATCATTGAGATTTTACCCATAGGAGACGCACTTCCTAGTTTGATTCATTGAGATTTTACCCATAGGAGACGCACTTCCTAGCTTGAGTCATTGAGATTTACCCATAGGAGACGCACTTCCTAGTTTGAATCATGGAGATTTTACCCATAGGAGACGCACTTCCTAACTTGAGTCATTGAGATTTACCCATAGAAGACGCACTTCCTAGTTTGAATCATGGAGATTTTACCCATAGGAGACGCACTTCATAGTTTGAGTCATTGTGATTTTACCCATAGGAGACGCACTTCCTAAGTTGATTTACACCTGTAAGATACGCACTTCCTAAACTGAGAGTTCATTCATAGGAGACTCACTTCCTAGTTTTAGTCACTGAAGTTTTCGCCCCTAGGAGACACACTTCCTAGTATTGGTCATTTAAATTCACCCCTAGGAGACGCACTTCCTAGTTTGGGTCATTTAGGTTTTATTTTAGCAGGCGCATTTGCTAGGCAAAGTTTTCTGGTTGCTCGTAGGAGACGCATATCCTAGTCTAGTCTTTAGTTTACTCTCAGCATTGCATCAATAGTATAAGTGGTTTACAATTTTTCTAACAACTCACAAATCTTCCTAGTGCAAACTGGGGCAGAAAATTTCGTTTGTTTTGTTTGTTTTGATTGCAGGTACCCACATGGAAAGCAAGGGAACACAGAAAGTTTCAGCAATCAGGCGCCCACCTGGAGAACAAGGGAATACATTTCAAGTTCAGCAATCAGGCGCCCACCTGGAGAACAAGGGAGTATAATTCAAGTTTTATCTTTCACGTTCTTATTGATATTTGATAACATGATGTAGTTTTACACTCACATCTGTACCCAGCCACCAAACTGGGGCAGAAAATTTTCTTTATTTTGTCTATTTTTGTTGAAATCAGGCGCCCACCTGGAGAACAAGGGAATATATTTCAAGTTTTAGCAGTCAGGAGCCGCCTGGAGAACAGAGGCATTTATTTCAAGTTTTAGAAATCAGGAGCCCGCCTGGAGAATAGAGGCATTTATTTTATGTTTTAGCAATCAGGAGCCCGCCTGGAGAACAGAGGCATTTATTTCAAGTTTTTAGCAATCAAGAGCCCGCCTAGAGAACAAGGGTAGTTTCAAGTTTCAGCAGTCAGGAGCCCGCCTGGAGAACAGAGGCATACATTTCAAGTTTCAGCAGTCAGGAGCCCGCCTGGAGAACAGAGGTATTACAATTCAAGTTTTAGTTTTCAAATTCTTATTAATATCTGGTAATATGATGCCCAGTCACCAAACTGGGGCAAGAGATTTTCTTTGTTTTTGTCTATTTTGTTGAAGTCAGGAGCCCGCCTGGAGAACAGAGGCATACATTTCAAGTTTCGGCAGTCAGGAGCCCGCCTGGAGAACAGAGGACTACATTTCACGTTTTAGCGGTCAAAGCATCACTTGGGGAAAGGGAGAACACTTCAGAATGCAATTCAAGGCAACAACAAAAGAATTCCACCGAAAGAATACAAGTCGACAATGCAACGAGGACCACAAGAGCAAGTTTGAAGACACAGATAGGATCTTTTGTAATTCATAGATCATAGCTTAGTCTAGTTTCTTTTATTTTTGACATGGTGTAATAAGGGGGTTCAGTAAGCAGTAGCAGCGGCAGCAGCAACAGTAAAACCGCAGCTTCATGGGAGTTGATGACTGATGTGGGCCATAGAGCGGTGTTGTGATTTATAATGGATCAGGTTGCACGCTGCAACGAATTGATATTTGGATCGGGTTGCACGCTGCAACTGTTATATTAATTATTGATCAGGACTTGGGCAAGGATCCGCCCCTCCAGAGTCTGATATTACGGTGAGCGCACAAATGTAAAATATATGTGTTTTATGAGGGGAATTTGTGCCAGGCACCCGTACAGTGCTGAATGTGGTAGTGTGTGTAATGGTGAGGGGCATTTGTGCCAGGCACCGCGAGTGTGCTGAGTGAGAGTATACTTGATGGTTTCACTGTGATGTTATCGACTTGACATGTATATTTTACATGTAGGCATAGAGATATATTTTTCCTCATGCTAAATGGTAAATAAAATATCTTATCTCTTGTTAAAATTTAGAAAAATCATAATTTTCTTGATAAACTCATATTTTAGTAATTTTGGTAAAAAAAAATTGGGCTTTGACTGTTATACTTGGAAAGTAGGTCTGATTTTCTGTATTTGTGGACGAGCTGAACATGATATCGTTTGAGTTATTTACTTTTACTCTCATCACTGTATCATGTGTTGTTATTGATTATTTATGTTGGGCACCGACTTCCTTCTGCCACTGCTTTCAGCCCGAGATTAGGTTTGTTACTATTTAGTAGATATGATTGGTTGTACTCATACTACACTTTGCATTTTATGTGCAGATCCAAGTACTTCCAAACGTGGTGATTTCTAGAGTTCGCATCGGTACTAGCTTGTGGAGACTACGAGGTAGCTGGTATATCGTTCGTAGACCTTGAAGTTCTCTTCTTTTTTTTTATCGCTGTTCTACCATTCAGATAGTTTTTTTTATTGAGGATTGACTATGTATTTTGAGATTATGTAGTGCTCATATACTCGTTGACCCCAGATCATTGAGATTGTTGTAGTTGTGTTATTGTTGTTGTCTTCAGATATTTTATGATATTACCGTTGTTGGGATTATTAAGTTTTGTTATTTGAGTTTTAGTATTATTGTGAAATTGTTGGCTTGCCTAGCAAGCAGTGTTAGGCACCGTCATAGCTCTGGTGAGAGTTTGAGCCGTGACAATGTTGTTAGCAATGCATTGCTACATGCATGGGATTTGCGTAGTCGTGATAGAGCGCATCAGTTCATATGCTCTATGTATGCATATCGTTATATGTTTTGAGGTCAGTCTATGTGCTTACTGGATACACGTTGATTTCGTATTCATATTACACGTTTGCATATTTTTGTGTAGATTTTGTTCCTGATACTAGCAGGACATAATTCGTGATGAGCTGTCATACTTGAACGCAGTTGTATATTCCGTCTTAGTCGATGACTCATATTACCAGTTTCAGGGATATATATATATATAGATATATATATATATTCTATGTTTAGCCTAATGTATCGACTTCTTTTATGATTTTTCTGTGAGGCTTGGTTGTAATTATCTCTTGTATACTTTTTGTGTTGAATCACCTAACCGACGATGTTAGGTATCATCATAACCTTAGTGGGATTTGGGCGTAACAGAGTGATGTGTTAATTAGAGCCTCGAATTCGATCTATGGGAATGAGAGTGTTTTCTCATTTATAGACTATATATACGATACAAACCAAATTACTTAGGCCAATAAATTTCTTATTAAAGAAAAGAAAAAAAGAATTGTAATGACACTTTGAGCAATAAGAATGAGCCATCATGATTCATGGACGAAACTAAGGAATGTACATTTAATTGTACTAGTAGTATTAGTTTGGGACAATTTCACATTAGAACAACTGGGCTCCCTACTTTTCAATTTTATAGCCCATATTTTAATTTACAATCAACTAGCCCAAAAATAATAGGCTAAGATTCAACATCCAACTCCAATAGATTCTCAAAATGACTATTTAATTTTTAAAAAAGATTCCTCAAGCTTTTAAATTTATTTTCGAATCAGTAACTAACAGTGACTCAAATATTAATTCAACAAACCAAATTCATTTGGGTGGTGAAAATTAGATTTTTAACAAGCTTAAATATGTGGGTTTAAATTCCGAATTTGATTTTGTGAGAAATTTGGAGTGGGTGTTATTTAGACTTGTTAGAAATAGTATAAGGAGGTTGTATACAAAATTTGAAGTCATTTAATGGAGATTTGGACTGGTTTTGAACAAGAATTGCAACTGAAAATCGTGGAAGAAGTTCGTCTACAGACGCTTGTATAAAGGTGTATAAAAGTGTATAATAGTGTATAAGCTGTGTTTCTACACTAATATACACTATTATACAAGATTATACATAATTATACAAAAAACTGACTTCGTCTTCTTCCTTGCGTCTTTTTTGAAATTTAACTCAAATCTTACTCAAATCTACTGCAAATCACTTCAAATTTAAATTTTGAACTCCTATTGATATTTTCAATCAATTGGAACAACACTCAATCCAAACAACTAACAAATTCAAAAAGACCATTTTCAAAAACAAAACTTTGAATGGTCTCCAATGGTGGACTTCTACTCTTCAATTTTCTTACATTGCAAGCAGGTGACACAAGAGGACAAGCAGAAAATACACGGTCCCTTGAAACATATAGATGATGTGAGAAGAAGAGAGAGTGAAAGCAATGGTTGTGAGAACATAGATTTAACTCCATAATTTTTAGAAGCAATGGTTGTAAGAACACAAATTTTGAATTTGCTAGTGTTTTCAAAAGCACAATATTTCCAACTAAAATCAATAAAAATAGGACGAAGGGAGTAATAACAATTGACACTCTAATTTTAAGCAATTGTAATTGAAAAACACGAGCAGCAAAGAAGAAGCTTTTAGAAGACCTCTTCCTGGAGAGGATATGTAACCGCTACATAGATATGGAAAGGTCATAATGCTTAAGAATTTAAAATACCATTTCAGTTTTCAAAATATGTATAACGTGGGCCAGGTGGGGTAAAACTGGACCATTTTTTGTTACGGCGTGAAGTCATGTGTATTTTCTTGTAATTATTTCTATTAGTTTCTACACTTTTACCTCTTGATAAGCTTTTGTCACAAGAACCCGTCCGCCTATGGTTTTAAACTGATTTTTCTCCACACGCAGAATTCAGAAATCTCCTTCACCCCACCCCCGCTCTACCCCACCCCACCCCAGTACCCCTTACCTTTTTAAACTCAAAAACTTTCTCCTCCCATTACTATCTCCTCTTTCTTTTCCATAACACACATAATTTCACTTCCAACATATATTATATCTATACACACAATTCTATATTATTTTTTTATTGAAGAATATTACCTTTAGCCTTTAGGGAAGAAATTTTTTTCAAGAAAGAATCAACCCATTTTTGGAAACATAATTTCAAACGAGAAAAAGGAAGAATTTTTGGTGAATTTGGAGAGTAAAGTTTGTAGATAATAAAGATTCTTCTCCTGTTTTTTTTGTTGGTGTTATTTATAGGTAATGCATCAGAAGACATCTGAAGTGCAAATTGGAAAAGAAAGCATTTGCTGCATCTCTTCCGATTTCAATCCTACAGCGCCCCTTGTTTCTTCTTCATCTTCTCTTCATCCGAAACACCCTTCAAATTCCCATAATTTCAACTCTGGTCCCCAACATTTGATTTTCTCATCTTCTGTGTCACCTTCTTCTTCACCTGGATATCAGGATCATACTGCTATTCAAATTTTCATTGATAATGATAATAATGACGCAATTTCCCCTACCCCCACCACCACCCCTACCACCAAAACCACCCCACATAAAAGACCCCTTTTGGGAGTTTCATCAAACAACCCTTCAAAATCTCTCATAAAGACTCCAACTTTATCCAATTCTCTTCACAAATATCAATTTTCCTCTGTAAAGGGTCAACACCCATGTAGAAACTTGAGCAATTTCCATTTCTACCCCTGCCATATTCGGCTCATACTCTTTTTTTCTCTTCTGTTCTTCTATTTCTTGGTTTCACGTCCAAAAACTTCTTTCTTTTTGGATTTTCTTTCTTCTTTTGCTTTTTCAGCAGCCCTTTTGTTTACACTGAATTTAGCACTTCCAAGATTCCCCTCGATTCGTTTATTCTTGGCTAAGTCTTTGCTTCCAATTAAGGTTTTTTCATCAAAACAAGTGTCCAAGAATGCTTTACCAGTGTTTTGGTCAATAGGGTCAAGGCCAAGAATTGATAAAAAGGTAAATACTTCAGGTTGTTATGTGCAGGCATACAGTAACGGAGATGTGTTTGAGGGGGAGTTTCATAAAGGGAAGTGTAGTGGAAGTGGAGTTTATTACTACTACATGAGTGGGAGATATGAAGGGGATTGGGTTGATGGGAAGTATGATGGTTATGGGGTTGAAACATGGGCAAGGGGGAGCAGATATAGGGGACAATATAGGCAAGGACTTAGGCATGGATTTGGGGTTTATAGGTTTTATACAGGTGATGTATATGCTGGGGAATGGTCTAATGGACAAAGTCATGGGTGTGGAGTTCATACTTGTGAGGATGGGAGCAGGTATGTTGGTGAATTCAAGTGGGGAGTTAAGCATGGCCTTGGACATTACCACTTCAGGTAATTTGTTGTCATTGATGTTTTCGGTTTTATATTTTCGTGTGTTAATTTTTCCTTGGTTGAATTTGGTGGCGTCTTTTCGTCAGCAAATTGAAGTAATCCTGTTAAATCTTATTGGGTATGAGATATTTCACAATGTCCATATGTGTTATTGCATAGTTTATTGATCATGGCATTTTATCTAGCTGTTTGCCTATAGGGAAATGTGGTGCATTTTTGGCGTGTGGGCATCTATACGAGGAACTCGGGAGCAAAGGCGGAGACAAGAAGTTGTACCGATTGGCCAAGGTGAGGGAGAGGAAGGCCCGTGACTTGGACCACGTGAAGTGTATTAAAGACGAGGACGGCAAAGTTTTGATGGACAAGGCACATATTAGACGCAGATGGTAGACGTACTTCCATAGACTGTTGAACGAGGAGGGGGACAGAAGTATTGTGCTGGGTGAATTGGAGCACTCTGAGAGTTGGCGAGATTTTGGATTTTGTAGGCGTATTAAGGTGGATGAGCTGGAAGGGGCCATTCGCAAGATGTGTAGGGGCAGAGCGATGGGGCCAAACGAAATCCCAGTGGAGTTTTGGAAGAACGCAGGTCGAGCAGGCTTGGAGTGGCTCAATGGGTTGTTTAATGTCATTTTTAAGACACAAAAAGGATCCCTGAGTAACGGATGTGGAGTACGATGGTTCCGTTATACAAGAACAAAGGTGATATCCAAAATTGCAACAATTATAGGGGTATAAAGCTGTTGAGCCACATTATGAAAATTTGGGAGAGGGTGGTGGAAGTCAGGATCATGAGTGCGTCTATTTCCGAGAACCAGTTCGGATTCATGCCAAGTGCTCGACTACGGAAGCTATTCATTTGGTGTGGAGATTAGTGGAGCAATATAGGGAAAGAAAAAAGGACTTGCACATGGTGTTTATCGACCTTGAAAAGCGTACGATTGAGTGCCGAGGGAAGTTTTATGGAGGTGTCTGGAGGTTAGCGGTGTTTCGGTAGCGTACACTAGGGTGATTAAGGATTATGTACGATGGTGCCAAAACTCGGGTGAGGACTGTGGGAGGGGATTCGGAGCACTTTCCAGTTGTGATGGGGCTGCACCAAGGATCGACTCTTAGCCCGTTTTTATTTGCCTTGACAATGGATGTGCTGACGTGGCACATACAGGGAGAAGTGCCATGGTGCATGCTATTTGCCAATGATATAGTGTTGATCGACGAGACGCGAAGCGGGGTCAACACAAGGTTGGAGGTTTGGAGGCAGACCTTGGAGTCTAAAGGTTTCAAGTTGAGCAGGACTAAGACAGAATACTTAGAGTGCAAATTCGGTGACGGTGCTCATGAGTCACACGTGGATGTAAAGCTTGATACTCAAGTTATCCCCAAGAAAGGTAGTTTCAAGTATCTCGGGTCTATTATCCAAGGTAACAGGGAGATTGACGAGGATGTCGCACATCGTATTGGAGTGGGATGGATGAAATGGAGGCTTGCGCCCGGCGTCTTATGTGATAGGAATGTGCCGCCAAGACTTAAAGGTAAATTTTACAAAGTGGTGGTCGGACCAACTATGCTATATGGGGCGGAGTGTTGGCCAGTTAAGAACTCACATGTGGAGAAGATGAAAGTAGCAGAAATGAGGATGTTGAGATGGATGAGTGGGTATACCAAGAGAGATAAGATTAGAATGAAACTATTCGGGACAAAGTGGGACTGGCCTCCGTGGAGGACAAGAAGCGGGAGTCGAGGCTGAGATGGTTCGAACACGTAAAGAGAAGAAGCATTGATGCTTATGTTAGGAGATGTGAGAGGCTGACCATGGCGGGTTTGAGAAGAGGTCGAGGTAGGCCAAGGAAGTATTGGGAGAGTTGATTAGACATAATATGGCGCAGCTTCAGCTCACTGAGGACATGACCCTTGAAAGGAAGGTATGGAGGTTGAGGATTCGGGTAAAAGGGTAGTAGGTAGTTGTAAGTTTCTCCTTCTCATACCAGTTACTTTAGTAGCACTTAGGTTCCTGCTTATGCTTAAGTAGATCGTTACTTCGTCATGTGTTTTAGTTTGCTTATGTTATCGTATTTTCTGTTGTTAGTGTTTAGTAGTACTAATTCCCTTTTTCCCTTTTCTTTTTCTTCCCATGTTTTAGTACCCTTTCTTTTTTCCTTCTCTTTCTTCTTCTTCTTCTTCCCCCCTCGTCTTCTTCCTCCTCTTCTTCTTCTTACTCTTTCTAAGCCGGGGTCTATTAGAACAGTCTCTCTATCTTCACTAGGTAGGGGTAAGGTGTCCCCAGACCCCACTTGTGAGAATATAGTGGGTTTGTTGTTCTTGTTGTTGTTGCACACAGTTTAAACACCTTAGATATACCTACATCATCTCAAGTAGTAAAGTTGATTTTAGTTATTGCTGTTTTGTGGATCATATCTTATGTAAAGCAGATCATGTGACCTTGAAATGTTTATTAATGATTATGTGTATTAAAGGATGTCGAGAACGTTCGCTAAGCTTGTTGCTTTATGTCGCAATGGAATGAAGGGTAACTTTTTCTTACTGGATGTCACTGTATAAAAATTTCTATTTGCATGGTTGTTCTTTTCTGATCTAACAAAAAGAATGTGGTTTGTTAAACTAACCAGGAGAATAGTTAAATGATTATTTTGATATAATTGAAAGGGAACAACCTTTAAATGATCATCTCAGAGTACTGCATGTATGGTTCTAGAAGATACATAATCAACTAATTATAAATTTATAAGTCAAAGACAGAAAGAGCGTGGCCATTTCAAGGAATAGCAATTGTTTTTGCGTTTCTTTTTTATAAAAAGATTTCGTGAAGTTCCTTTCTGAATTTGTTTGCCCCAGCAACTTCATTTATTTATGTAGTTTCAATTGCTAAATTAGTTATAACTCCTAGGAGGTATATTGTGCCACTTTATAGGAAAAGCGACACTGGTAAATTCCAGTTTTTGTAGGGTGTGTGTGAGTGAGTGAAGGCACATTTCCAGATTTCTCATAGCACCTGAAAAGCACCATGAAAAAGAAATACCTATAGTACATTGGGAAACTTATACCACAGAAACGTCCGCGTCCACATTGCTTGACAATTAATTCCATTATGTGAGTAAGAGATCCATGTGTTTAGGCGGTATATTTGGATCAAGTGGTCAGTTGAATATCATAATTATTTCGAAGAGCTTCTTCCCCATTTTAGTGGTGGTTTATAATTTTGTCATTGACTCTGGCTATATGCCTGTATCTGGGTTGGTGCAATCTGCTCTAAAAACAGCTTATTGTTGGCGAAAGAATACTGGTCCTAATGGCTCTGACGCTTGAAGCTTTGTTTCATATATTTATCACCTATAAAGCTGAAAAAACAAATAATTGAGACTTAAGCATGGTTTTTATCTGAACAACCCTTCATTCTGCAGTAGAGTACGATCTGTTAACTGGTAGAGTGATGAAATGACATTTAAACTAAATGTAGAGTAATACTATGTTTTTTATTGTTTTTTCCTGCCATTGACTTGATTTTATCTTTTCAAAAAAGGAATGGAGATACTTATGCTGGAGAATATTTTGCTGATAAGATGCATGGTTTTGGAGTATATTGTTTTGCAAATGGGCATCAGTATGAAGGAGCTTGGCATGAGGGAAGGAGGCAAGGGCTTGGGATGTATACTTTTAGGAATGGGGAAACCCAGTCTGGTCATTGGCAAAATGGGGTCCTCCACATTCCAAGCACACATAATACCTCCTATCCTCTATCTCCTCTTGCTGTTTACCATTCCAAAGTACTAAATGCTGTACAGGTAAATTAGATAGAGAAAAAGAGTAGCATTAGTTTTCTTGGCTGCTCAAATCTTTGCCAACCCATAATAAGGATTATATACTGATGTCTTTCAAGTTTTTCGATGGACTACTTGTCCTAGTCATTTTATTCTTTAATCCGACACTCTAAAAGATTAGGTTCGGAAAAGGAAAATGCAGGTTTAATTTGACCAAACGCTGGTTGCTTTTCCATCAGGAGGCACGACGAGCAGCAGAGAGGGCCTACGATGTGACTAAGGTTGATGAGAGAGCGAACAGGGCAGTTGCAGCAGCCAACAGAGCAGCCAATGCAGCTAGAGTAGCTGCGGTGAAAGCTGTGCAAAAGCAAATGCATCATCGGAGGAACAGTGATGACCTTCCAATGTTCAACTGATTGTTATCAGTTTAAGCATCAAGTCGTCATCCATTTCCATTCACAGACAGCTGCAAGGGAATTCGTCCTTAAAATACCCTTTTAATCACACCTTTTAGTTCATGATGACTCTCTTGTTATTACTTCTAGCGCCACAAGGGGAAGCTGGTTGTATAGTCCGCTAGAGTTTCATCTTGTCTAAAGTCGGGCAAATCGTCAAGCTGCTGCATCATGGTCTTGTTAATGGTTTAAATGGATGATGCTATCCGCTAGCTACCTTTTTCATTCAGCTGTTTTGTATATTTAGCTAGTAGTAAAATCTGAGTGCTGGTGTCCAGATATGATCTCAACCCAGCCGGCATTTTGTGTATCTGTGGAAATGTCAATGAAATGGAAAAACGAAAAGAATATAGAAATCATTGTCTGTGTCTATGGCCAAAGTTGTGGAGCTGTTTCATCATCCTTACTATTCACTTGGGGTGGGGTGAGGATTTAACTACATTACTTTTTGTTTTCTAACACATCTTTTGGCAGTTTCGAGAATGTAGTATGTAATAACTACTTCCAAGTTCTGAATTATCATGAAGGTAATGAGATTTTTGTCCGAAGTAGAACTATAGGAAAATGTTTCAAACGAGAAAATAAGGAATGAAATGACAGTGCAAGGAGGACATTATCTTCTTGAAGGCCATAAGAATTTAGATTAAACAAAAGACACTACGCATGGATTGCATGCACGGCCTAAACAAGAATATTTCACCTTCTGGAAAGGAACCAGATATGAACATTTGAGTCTAGGAAGAGTGTTCAAATGTTAACAAAAAATCAAATATTTCAGAACACCAGCACATTTTTTTAGATAATTAAAACATCAGGGCAAAATACAGATCACTACTAGCAAGATGAAGCATTTAATTCAAGCTCACGTTTCGCATTAAACAGTGAAAGTATCTCCAAATTAAATACCAGAAGAACTAAACTGGGCCTCTAACTCTCTGTCTGCTCCCTAAGCCTTCGAATGGTGCTCCTAACAGTCACAGCGCTCGCAGTGCTGCAAAAGAAGGGAAGTCATTAGTACTTTAAAGCTGCTTAACACAAGAAACATAGAAGCAATTGGTTCAGATAAAAAGTACTTCAATGTGTAGGCACCCCCTGCTTTGACTTTGCCACAATCTTTGCAACCCCAAATACCAACAGCCTTCCTCTTCACAGCATACTACAATGCCAGAATCTAATTAACATTATTATCAATGCAATGATGAATACATGGTCTAGAAAACTATCAAATAACATATAAGCAAAGCTGTACCTTTCCACAGAACTCACAGAAATACTTGCTGTGCTGACTGACCTCCATCTTCTTAATCTGCTTCCTCAAACTAGCACCATAACGGGTACCTGAAAAAACACAACGTTATACCAAGCCATGAATTAGACGTAGAATGACTAATCTACATGCAGATATGGAAACTATGTTTTTACAGCAAACTCTTAGGGAATTCGGCCCAAGTACAATGACTAATCTACAAGTACAATAGCTTTTGAGAGACATACCATACTTCCCGACAATACCGGCCTTCTTGGTTCTCTTGGTCTACAAATATCAGGAAAATGTTGTTTAACAAGTATATCAAACTAAAACGTGAAGGAAAGAATAGAATGCAGAAATCAGAGCAGCCTCTCCAAAACAATGTACTGGAACACTACATGCTAAGACATTAAATTTACTGGAAAAACAGTAGCAACACGTGATAACGACGGTTTGAGTCTTTGACAAATCTTTCCAAATCAGTAAACTGTTCCACCCACGCAACAACAAAATACAGAGCCATGCCCATAATTTATAAGCCTCTCCTCCCCATAACCTTTTTCGAACACAAGCAATTTAAGGTATAACAGCTAATGTCGTGGTAAACTGTACACAATCTTTTTCCAACAATCCTGATTACATGTTGGAACCTAAGTTGCTCGGACACGGGTGCGGATCTAGAGGTCGGATCTTTCGAGATGTAAATTCTAAGATTCGGGGATACGGATCCTAGCACGGATACGGGTGGGGGGATCCAGCTAAAAATAATTCAAAAAAATAAAAATATAAAAACATCTCGAAATTATGATAAATTTTGTGGAATACTTACGTATAGCTTGTAAAGTGTGGATTTCTTTTTTATTATCAAGTTGTAGATAAGTAAAGGATTGATTTCCTAGACAAGATATGCTATTTTTTTCAAATTTACACTAGTTTTGGTTCTGATTTTGCGAATCAAATTGT